ACAGGGAGAGAGTGGAACAGTGGTTCACAGGCAGGGAAGGGCAGTGGGGAGGAGGAATAAAGAGGGGATACTTAATTACAGCTAGACAGCAGGAATAAGCTCGAGTGTTCAGTAGCACAATAGAACGACTGTAGTTAACAATAATTTATTGTATATTGCAAAATAACTAAAAGATTAGATTTGGAGTGTTCCCAAAACAAAGAAAAGATAAATATTTGAGGTGACAGATATCCCAATCACCCAGATTTCATCATTACTTATTGTGTGCTTGTATCAAAATATTACATGTATCCCATAAATATGTACAACTATTACATATCCATGAAATCTAAAAAAAAAAAAAAAAAAATCCAGAGAGTGTTTCTCTGTGTAACTGAGCAAAACTGGCAACGAGGCCTGAGCTGCATGTCGTCCTCCCTCGACCACGCCAGCCACAGACCGGCGTGATGCGGCAGGGCTCCGCAGGCTCCAGGAAGCTGTCCTCTTTCCAGAGAGGCACAAAGAGAGGGAACAAAAGCAGGAACGACGCAGTGAGCAGGCGGGGGCCGCTTCACAGCATCGTGGCATTACCAGGTATCGTCTGGCACAGGGAGAAGAGAAGAGGCAGGTAGTCCCTGGCATATCTCCCTTCCATTATTTCTTTAGCGGATCTATTGGTGATTTTCTTCCTTCAGCCAGGCTGTTGTAACAAAATACCATAGACTAGGTGGCTTATAAACAGAAATTTATCTTCTCACAGTTCTCAAGGCTGAAAGTGAGAGATCGGGCTGCCGGCAGGGTCAGGTTCTGGTGATGGCTCTCTTCTGGGTTGCGGACTGCAGACTTCTCACCGTATCCTCGCATGGTCGAAAGAGGGTGCGGGAGCACTCTGGGGGCTCGTTCATAAGGGCACTAATTTCATTCATGAGGGCTCTATTTTCATGACCCAAGGACCTCACAAAGGCCCCACCTCTTATTTCATCACGTTGGGAGTTAGGCTTTCAACGAAGGAATTTTGGAGAGAGAAACATTCAGACCACAACAGTGATCTCAACTGCCTAATTATATATTATAGCATATGCAAGATACTCTTTGAGCTACTTAGTAATTTCTTTATAACTGAGCTCCAGATTTGTTATTTAAAAATGACATAAGCGGCATTAGATAAAACTGTGCTGACAGGAGAAAAATAATGGTAATAATTAATTTATTCATCAAATTAAGTTAATGTCCCATATCTTTAACAATTCTAGAATAGCATCGTATTACATGTTTGGAGAAAACCTACCACTTAGAAATAATCAGAGGGTAGAAAAATGAAGTTTCAAAGAAATTTCTTCAGTCTAAAATATATGAAATGTTATAAACATCATTTCCAATATTTTCTTTCCAACGTGAATTGAACTTATATTTGTCCATAGAAACAGAGGATTCTAGTCAAAGAAAATCCTAGTCTAGAAGATTTATCATGAAAACTTACCACCCCCAAGTAGTATTATGCTACCAGCCTACCTTCAGTTGCACAAGGACTTTGAGAAGTTTTTACAGCTCACTGAATAAATTACTAGTTTAATGGAAGAATGGTTTTTCCATTCTCTTTCATACAATCCCCCTGAGAACAATAGGCATTTGCAAGTAGCTGGCTTTGTCTGGCCTAACAGGGACTCTGAACACTGACGCCGTGACCCCTTTACAGAATGCTCTAACCAACTACCCCAACAGCCTCTCACTGCTTTGGTATTGCCGAAGCAGCTCTAACAGCAAGCACACGGGGTTTCACTTACACTCTGTGCCCTAAATTCTTATGGCAACTACGCTTCATATTTTCTAGGTAAGTTAATTTTATTATCCTGCACCATAGGTCCCATAAGGACTTCCCACAACTTGACATTTTAAAAACATGGTCACTATCGTGAGATGGCTTCTAAAATGGCTCTTAATGATCCCCAGCTCCCAGTGACTCACATCCTCACGTAATCCTCTCTCCTTGAGTGTGGGCTAGATCTGCTGACTCTTCTCAGGAGTAGAATAAGGTAAAAGTGAGGGGAGTCCCTTCTGAGATCAGATTACAAGAGACTCTGACTTCTGTCTTGCTTGCATTCTCTCCGGTTCTTCTCACTTGCCCACTCTGATGAAGCCAGGTGCCACACTGCGAACTATGCAGAGGCTGGTGTGGCTGGAACTGAGGGCAGCCGCCAGTGAACAACCAGCAAAACTTGAAGCCCTTAGCCCGACAGGCTTCAAAGAACTAATACAGGACTAACTGCATGAGTGAGCCTTGAGACGTCTGCAGACCTGGCCAACAGCTTCGTTGCAACCTTGTGAGAGACCCTGAGCCAGAAAGCACAGCCAAACCGTAGCTCTGCCCCCGAAACTGAGATAACCAACGAGATTTATTGCCCCACTGTGAAGCGTTTGGTCACTTGAGGAAGTTGCCTCTTTTTTTAAAAAAATTTAACAGTTTTCTTGAGATATAATGCACATACCATACAACTCATCTGTTTAAAAGGTACAGTTCAGTGGTTTTTTGTATATTCACAGGGCTGTGTGGTCTCTCGTGAATGGCTTCTTTCCCTCAGCACAATGTTTTTAAGGTTCATCCGTGCTGTAGCTTGTGTCAGTGCTTCATTCCTTTTTATAGCAGAAAAATACTCCATTGTATAGATACACCACATCTTGTTTATCTATCCATCAGTTAATGGGCATGTAGGTCATTTCAAGTTTCTAGACATTTGTGTGCAAGTCTTTGTGTGAACATCGGTTTCGTTTCTCTTATTTGGGTAGATACCTGGGAGTGGAATTGCTGGATCAGACGGTAACTCTATGTTTAACATTTTGAGGAACTCCCAAACTGTTTTCCAAAGTGGTTGCAACGTTTTACATTCCCACCAGCAATGCATGAGAATTCCAGTTTCTCCACATCCTTGCCAATACTGTTATTGTCTGTCTTTTTAATTAAATCCAACCCACTGGGCTGTGAAGTGGTTATCTCATTGTGGTTTTGACTTGTTTTTCCCGATACTAATGATGTTGAACATTTTTTCATGTGCTTATTTAGCCATTTGTATATCTTCTTTGCAGAAATAGCTATTTAGACACTTCACCCATTTCTAATTGAGTTATTTGGTTTTTTATTTTTGAAGTATAAAACTCTTTATATATTCTGGATTACAAGTCCCTTATTTTGTATATATATAAATAATTCTATACATACAAATGATTTGCAATATTCTCTCCTATTTTGTGGGTTGCTCCTTCACTTTCTTCATGATGTACTTTAAAGCACAAAAGGTTTTAATTTTGATGAAGCAGAATTTTTTCTTTTGTCATTTGTGCTTTTGATACTGTATCTAAGAAGGCTTTGCCCAAGCCAAGGTCACAAAGATTTACTTTTATGTTTTCTTGTAAGACTTTTATAGTTTTAACACTTACATTTAGATCTATGATCCATTCTGAATTGATTTTTGCATACAGTGTGGAGTAGAAGTCCAACATAATATTAGTGCATGTGGATAACCAGTTGTCCCAGCACCATTTGTTGAAAAGACAATTCTTTCCCCATTGAACTGTCTTGCTCCCTTGTTAAAAATCAATTGACCATAAGTGTACAGATTTGTTTCTGGACTCTCAGTTCTATTCTATTGATCCACATGTCTATCCTCATGCCAGTACTATACAGTCTTAATCACTGTAGCTTTGTAGCGAGGTTTAAATTGGAAAGTGTGAATCCTTCAACATTGTTCTCTTTTTTCAATACAGTTTTGGATATTCTGGGTCCCTTACAATTTCATATGAATTTTAGGATCAACTGTCAACTTCTGCAAAAAACGGAGTTGGGATGTGGATAGGGATTACATTGACTCTATAGAGCAATTTGGGAGGCCCAGGATTGTTTTACAAAAGGAAATTTCTCTGGTTCATTCTTCCCAGTAATACACATCTGGGGCCGTCACCTTTGTGCAGCTCCAAATCCCATGTCCAAGAAGCTACTTGGATATTAGTCACCTCTTGACAGAAGAGTATTCTACATTTTTGCACTCTGTTTAATAACCTTATATTTATAAAGCAGTTTATAAATATGAAGTATGGTATTAGAAGCCAATTCTTGGCTCACTCATTAGGTGGCCAGTTACCTCATTAAAAAATCAATTTCATTCCACATGATGTAAATAGAAAGTATAATAATCCTTGAGTTTAAATTTGGGTATGAGTTTAGCATAAGCTTCTAGCTACAAAGGTGACAGCTATTAAAATGACCTTTTAAAAAACCTGGAAAGATTAGGCTAACCATCTGCCTGTCCATTACATAGCCCAAGATTGCCAAGTACTATTACCTATTACACACCACTAATTCAGAAGTTTTTCCAAGCAATCTATTTAATTTTATCATTATATACTAAGCTGTATATCACTCGGATCATTCCTTTCTGCTTTGATTTCAGATTACATTTAAATTAGAAATACGCTACAGGTATAGTGGCTCATGCTTGTAATCCCGGCACTTTAAGAGGCTGAGGTAGGAACATAGTGAGATCTCGTCTCTACAAAAAAATTTCTTTAAAAATTAGCCAGGTGTGGTCACACGTACCTGTAGTCCCGGTGACTCCAGAGGCTGAGGTAGGAGGATCGCTTGAGCTCAGGAGTTTGAGGCTGCAGTGAGCACTCCAGCCTGGGCAACAGAGAAAGACCTTGTCTCTAAATGAATGAATGAATGAATGAATGAATGAATGAATGAATAAGGAATACTTTCTACCTTTAGAGGGCACTCATAACATACAGTACTTAGACATTCACAATAAGCAGCTCTACCAGGAATAGAACATTAAAGATCTGTGGATAAGCTACTGATCCGAAAAACAGATAATCCTTTTCCTTTGATTAGTGTAACTTTCCAGGACGGCCCCCAGCAGACTCAGGAGATGGCCCAGCATTAGCCAAAGGAAGAGAAACAGAACAGATTCCGTGCGAATGTTGGTAGAAACCAGGCAACAGGATTCATTCGGGGCCTTTATTGTAAAAACATGCCCAGGCTTTCCCAAGACGACCAAGAGTGCCTCCAGAAACATGCCTCCCGGCCATCCATGTGGACTCAATTCCTGCTCCTGTTTAGGGATGAGAGATACAATGCAAACATTCGCCAAACCACAGAAAACGAAGGGGACCCCAAGGCTGCACCTGATGTCAAGGTAAGACGATCTCCACAATCCATGATTCTTTCTTGACAAGAGAAAGGCTTAATCCAGAAAGAACACAAAACCATGAGCAAGCTTTAGTGCGAGCACTCACTTATCTTAATGTTCTATCAAAAATGTTTTCAAACCAACCCCAAGGGAAATGTAGAACCTTGATGATAATTACCTGGTCAATCCAGTTTTCTCCAATCTGAACAGCTTCACATTATCAAAACAAATGATTACTCATTGCTTTTTTGTTTTTTTGCTTGTTTCTGGAGATAATGTTTTAAAAAGCAGTAGACATAGATTTTATAGCTATTGGTATTAGCCCTTGGATGTTTTTCTCTGACATAAATATCATATCCCATATACTAATGAAAGAAAAAGTATAGACTGCTTTCTACAAAAATTCCAAGAGAAAAAAATTGATAAACTAATGTAGGATTATAAGAACATTAAGGAGCTAAGGGGTGTTTTTTCTGAAATCACGGAGTCCTAAGGTGAATTTCTAAGCATGAGTTTCTATGAATAGGTAATAACATCATTTCTCTAAAGAGTGACAATTTTCCTGCTCAATGTCATGTGTATTTTTGAAGAAAGTACAGTTTAAGTCTTCAAATCCTCTTAGCTATTAATAGAACTATCTCTTAAGTTATTTGGTATGGGAGATGGGCATGTGTTAATGTCTAACAAACAGTGAGCAGAGCTCAGAATTTAATGTTGCAAAATCCTACTACAGCAAACCTACCCAAATACCTTAACCCTAAAATATTCATCTCTTCCTGTGCCATGTCTCCTATCCTGATAATAATCATTTATTTGCCAATTCCCTGTTTAATTCGCTAGTTGTTCCCTTTTTCCTGATGTTATTTTAACCAATTGGCACAACCAAAGAAAAGTTTTTTAAAAAAAGGTCATTAAGAAGTTTTTTCTGTAGAAATGTACTGACCTTTGTTTTCAAGCTTTCAGACATACGTGAACAAATAACACATGAGTTTCCATACCCCCGTCATCATCTAAGAACTAGGAGTTTAGGAAACTAGTATGAAATAGGATATAGTGGCCAGGAGTCCTTAATTAATGGGCATCTAAATGTAGGAAACACACACAAAAGATATTTCTAAAATGTAGAATTTGGAGGTTACTCTGAGGAAATAGCAACAACAACAACTATATATTGTTTATGTAGTATATGTACATACATTGTACAGGTATGTACATAATTTGAAAGGTCTAACCGTCCTAGGGGTATGCTGTAAGTGGAATCACAGGCAAATGCAATGGAGAAGTATTTGAGCATCAGCAGTTCACTCGCCCACAGCATCCTGAACAGGCACGTGTGCCGGCGCCGGGCAGCCAGAGCTGCTGTCCTGACCTCAATAACCAGGGGAAACAGGTCCAGGCCTGTGCAGCAGCAGGTGACAGGAGAAGGGAGCTTCCAGTTGGGATGTTACTGGCTCCTTCACTTGGTTTTCTTTTTTAAAAAAACAAAAAATTTATATTGCATCTAAATATAGAAAGAGAAGACATATCCCTCTTCTAGCAAATACAAGAATGATAGCACTGAATTCCTTTTGATTCTGCAAATATCATGGAATCCTTTCTAACTGCAAAACCTTCGGCAAGGTGCTGCAGGGAACAAAGAGGAAGAGAAAGGAATGCTCCTTCCTCTCTAGAGACTCACAATATATTGGGAAAGACAAACACACCCATATATTATCCGCATTAACTCATGTCACTAATATAGGGTACCTATGTAATTACTGTGCGTGCTTTCAATCAGCAAGGCAGTAAGAAATCAAGGACAAAATGTGACCATGGGGTAAGGTGACTGAAAAAGGCCTAATGGAAGAATGAAAGGGGCGAAACCTAAGGCAGACATGAAACGATGATCAAGAACGTGCAGAAGCAGAGAGAGGGAACGTGGGCTATAATGTGTCTAGATGTCCAGGGACCAATGAGAAAGCCTCAAAAAATCCTCAAACTAAGCCTCACACCTTATATAAAAATTAATCCCAAATGAATCATGGGCTTAAATGTACAACTATTTGTAAAACTATAAAACTTTGAGGAAAGAGTGGGAGAAAATCTTTGTGACCTAGGGCTGGGCGAAGAGGACTTAGACATCAAAAGCATGATCCATTAGAAAAAAAAATCAATAAATTAGACCTCATCAGAATTTGAAAACATTTGGTCTGCCAAAGACACTATTTAAAGAATGAAAGACAAGCTACAAATTGCAAGAAAATTCTTGCAAACGCCATATCTGTGAAAGGCCTTGAATCTAGAACAAAGAATTCTCAAAACTCAAAGGTAAAAACAATCCAACTAGAATATGGGCAAAAGACGTGAACAGACATTTCACTGGTGAGTTTCCACAGGTGGCAAATAAATACATGAAAAGATAATCAGCATCATTAGCCAACAGGGAAATGCAAATTAAAACCATAGCAAAGCATGACTACACACCTGGCAGAATGGCTAAAATGGGAAAAAAATAGTGCCTATAAAAATGGCTAGAATAAACACATATTAATACAATTATTACATGTTAATTAAAAATAAAAATAAAGAAAGGGCAAAACAAAAGAAAAATAAACTCAAATAGTGTTTCAGCTTGTCATAAAAGGTACTTATTATCATCCCAGAGACTTTTCTTATTTAGCTAACTTAGACAATCCCTTAACTTAATAAAGCATCTAAGATAGCAGCTAATGCCTTTCAAAATAATAAACGAAAATGGTAATCAATTTAAAAGCGAATGGCAAAAAGCAACCTCTAAAATTCCTCATATAATTTTCATAAAATTTAAGGAATGAATGATGTTTTCATAACAAATAAATACTTTTCATCTCGACCAACAAAAACACCAGAGTCCAAATATTACAGCCTCACAGTAGGCGGCTCAACTCAGACCACCTGCGAACATCAACCAGGCAGCCTGGCCATGCTACAGTAACAAATGAACCCCCAAGGTTCAGAGGGGGGTGAATCTCACAGATCACGCTCACATTCACATTTTTGATGGAACCAGGCCCATGACTAATCTAATTGCAAAGGAGGCTAGGAAACATACAGGAGCCAGGTTACCAGGAAGCACTTACGGCCTCCACCACACCATCCACTCAACTCTAGTCTAAACACCTATGCATTCAGTTTAAAATTCTGACTGAGACTTTGAGGAGGAAAAATGGAAACCCGTTATATCAATGAAACAGAGTGCTACCTTACTGTGAAAGGCCTGCTGGCGGCAAGAGAAGTCATAAATAAAAAACTCAGATGAAAGAAAGCAAAGAAAGAAAGAAAGAAAATCTTCCCTTATACATCAGAAAAGAATATCTCTGAAAAGATATGTACAGATATGCATTCACATAAGAAAGTATAATGTATATCTGTGCTTTTCAGTTATACATTGACTTGGAAAAAGTCAATGATGCGGCAAAGTAACATCGCAAGGTGACGGAGGTGGCAGAGCTACAGACAGAGAGGCAGGGAGGGCAGAAAGAGAGCTAGCATGTGACAGCTGAGAGAGCTTGGCTAAAGCACAGAGATTCATCGTGGAGACTTCTAGGAATGATTGAGAAGATCCCAGGTAAGGAAGATGAAGGAAAGTCTGCCGTGATCAGCTAGGGTAAGCTCAAAGGATTATTTGCTATGGTTAATGTGGCCCCATTTCATTTAACCTGTAGGCAGAGGAGCCCTGAGAACCGTGTGCAGCGCCTCCTCAACTGTCTAAAGAATATCCAGCTCAAAGGAGACTGTGGTTATGCTTTAAAACCAAAAACAGACCCAAAAGAAGTAGGAAACGCTGAAAGTGTTTTCAGAAGAAGTGATGTGTGATCTGCAACTTGTTTAAAATAATCCAGGGAACCAGCCTGAGCGAGAGAGAGACCCCGTCTCTACTAAAAATAGAAAAAATTAGCCGGGCATGGTGGCGCATGCCTGTAGTCCCAGCTACTCGGGAGGCTGAGGCAGGAGGATCGCTTGAGCCCAGGAGTTGGAGGTTGCTGTGACCTATGATGACGCTGTTGCACTCTAGCCTGGGTGACAAAGCAAGCCCATGTCTCAAAAAAAAAAAAAAAGAAAAAAAGAAAAAAAAAATCCAGCAAGGAGGGAAGTAGAAGAGTAAGGGATGAAGCAGAATTGGCAATATGTAGTTAAATGTTGGGATTGGGTGATGGATATGAAAGTTCCTGAGCCTAGTCACTCAGTTTTTCTATTTTGAAAATTAACATAATAAGTTTGTTTTTAAGAATCTTGAAGATGAGAGCTTAGAATTTTCGATTAAAACTAAATAACAAATAAATAATGCAACTTTCCGTGTTCTATGTCTATAGCACGGTGGGAGCCACTGGTGCACGCTACCTAGCAAACATCCAAAGGACAGCGCAATTCATCTTGGTCTTTCAGGAAAATCTTCGAAAATGGCAAAAGATCCTATGTGGAAAGCTAAGAGGCATACTTTAAAAATCCTGGCCAGCTTTAGTACACTGGTTGGTTGGTTGGTTTTTTCACAAATTTTATAACTCTTGGATTTTAAATCAATAGTTAGGAAAAGAAATATATCTAAGTATCATTTCCACTGTTGGAAAGTTCTCATAAAATCATGCTGGCTTCCCTGCTGAAATCAAGCCAGCCTTCACAAAGCCATAAAATCGCTGCAAACACTTTAGAAATTTATATTTAAGTTTTGCCTTTTGCAAGGTTAAAGTATAGATGAACTATTAATATATTGGGAATGTTACAGAGTAAACTTGTTATTGTTGGTTCTATAAGAACCATTTATTTCTATTCAATGAGAAAAAGCAATTTAGATCAAGCTTATGTCATTTAAGAGTTTATTTTAGAAATTTCTACAGAATGGTTGCAAAACTACTGTATTTAAAATGACTGAAAAGAGTGGGTGCAGTGGCTCATGCCTGTGACCCTAGCACTTGGGGAGGCTGAGGCAGGAGGATCCCTTGAGCCCAGGAGTTTGAGGTTGCTGTGAACTATGATGATGCCACTGAGCT